TTTATGGATTTGTAATTATAAATGTCAGGCCATGGAGCATGTGGAATAGAAGTGAGAGTTGCATCATAGATGCTTGGCTATGCAGACCAGACATTGCATCCATATCTGCAGGCAACTCCGTGCCTCCCTGGGACTCTAGAGCAGTGATGGCGAACCTATGACACACGTGTCATGCGAACTCATTTTTTTTGGTTGATTTTTCTTTGTTTAATGGCATTTAAATATATAAAATAAATATCAAAAATATAAATCTTTTACTATGGTTGCAAATATCAAAAAATTTCTATATGTGACATGGCACCAGAGTTAAGTTAGGATCTTTCAAAATGCTGACACGCCGAGCTCAAAAGGTTCGCCATCACTGCACTAGAGCCATTTGTGACTGGAGTTCGGGTTATATAATAAATGAGTCCAGGTCCCTTTTTTATTTTATTTTTTAGAAAGTTTCCCCCCACCCCTTTTTTTCTTCTGTCCTTTCTCCCGCCCTCCCATCCTTTCTTCTGCAGTGCCCTTCTCTGCAAAACAAACAAACAACAACAAAAACCAGCACTCTTCAGCATCCCTCTTTTTGACAAGATTTCCAAAGGGATACAGATATGATGATGCTAAAAATATTAACTGCCATAAAGTGGTGAGAGTTTTTAAAAGTTAGGAATTTGCTTTTTACTCTTCTATATAAATAGTTTTGGATTCCACTTTGAAATACAGTTATATCCTCTGGGTAAAACCGTTATCAGGTTTTAGGATGTATGTCCTTTACTTCCAATATTACATTATATATTGATCTTTTTTGAATTCTAAACTTATTTTAAAAGCAGTACTGTACTGCACTCACTTCATACATTTTCATTCCATAGTTCCCATCCTCAGATTTATTAAAGATGGCTTCATTTTTTAGTGCAGTTCTTTTATCTCAATGTAAATTGTATCCAAACTTAATTTTGAGCCTGGGGTTTGTGGAGTGGTTTCAATAAAAAAAAATTGAATTAGTTACCAGTTTTATAATTGCTCCCTCATTCACTTTTTTTTTGAATTAGTTACAGGTTTATAATTGCTCCCTCATTCACTTTTTTTTTCTCCCCAGTGTCGAGATGTGAGAACCAGAGAGGTTGGAATTCAAGAAATTCATCACAAAGTACGGCCATATCAGGTTAGTTTCTTCATTTTATAGAGAAATTGGGTCCTGTTCATAAATCTTTTTCTGTCAAGCCTGAACCCACATCTTCTTACCAATGGATTGGATCCTCAAAATTAATGAGTAAACTATGAGCAAAGAGTAATCTGGATCAGATACAGATGTCAAGCCAGGAATGAGCCAAGTATGAGGGGTGAATTCTAGAAGAGCTGGGTTAGGACAACCAGATCTGAACTTCATTCTGGACCGGCCCTGTGCAATAGAACTCTGCAGTGCTGGTGATGTTCTGTAATCTGCCGTCCAGTATGGCATCTGCCAAGTCACATGTGACTATTAAGCAGTTGAAAGGTGGCTAGTGTAGCTGAGGAACCGAGTTTTTACTTTAATTTTAATTCAAATGTAAGTAGCCACATGTGACCCGTGGCTATATTCAGGTAAAGCTGGATGGGATCTGCTCATCTCATTATGTGCAACTGTTAAATTATTGCCCATTGGAGGTAATCAAATGAAAAGATCAGCCCTTTGGGAGGTTGAAAAAAAAAGAAAGAAAAAAAAGAAAAGATCAGCCCTTACCAGCAGGCGGGGGTTCCATAAAACTTGAGCCTGATGCCCACATACGTAGGTTTGGCTTTTCTGTGTATGTTGTTACATATTGCTTATATTTATGCAAAGTACAAGGGCACTTGAACAATGATGAGTTGAATCAAAAGCTATGTAAATTGCTACCACACAAGTCTCCTCCAAAAAGCCACTCTTCCAGTGATTGAATTTTCTTTAATGTATTAATCTCATAACTAGACATAATAATTTAAGGCCCTATGGGATGCTGTCAGGGAACGAGTGACACTGACACATACCCCTCCCCCAAAAGAGTGTTTTAATGGAGGAAGAACTAGAAAGTTAAACCATTGAGCATCTGAAAGTTCTGGGGCCAAGGGGTTCTCCTAAGAGCTATGCATGTGGCATAGTGTATAATTTTACCTTAGAGACTCTTCATGGAGCAGCAGAGATTTAACTGCATGGAAGCATTTACTAAGCCAGATATTTGTAAGAATCTCAAGATTAACGAAGTTCAAATGTTCATGAAACTGTAAAATTGTCTGTTTTTTATAATAGTTCAGGAACATCAGAAAGGGCTTCTGTCATGAGTGGCACACGTAGAGCAGCTTGAGTGCTCCACGTGCAGAATCAACATCAAGAGATTTCAGAAGCATAATTATTTGGTATCTGGGTAGCTAGTGATCATTGGCCCTGGCACCCACCAGGAGGAAAAACAGTTCATGAACAATGCATGAACTCTGATTTAATTGATGTTCAAGATTGGACAAGTAAAAAGAAATAATTCGTGATTATTTTTATCCTTAATTGTGGATATTAGTGTAAGTAAATACATATATTTATAAAAATGAACTGTGTTCTCTAATTTTTAAAAAATGCGGTTTTGTTTGTTGATTTTGTGTTGTTGTTGTTTTATTTAACAGGTTGAGTTGGTAAGGAGAGATTATGTTGCAAATGGTGGCTGGGAAACATTCTTATCATACGAAGACCCAGACCAAGACATTTTGATTGGCCTCCTGCGATTACGAAAGTGTTCAGAGGAAACCTTCCGTTTTGAATTGGTTGGAGGTGTTTCCATAGTCCGAGAGCTGCATGTGTATGGGAGTGTAGTCCCTGTAAGCAGTCGGGATCCAACTAAGTTTCAGCATCAGGTATCCTGTATTTCATTTCTATTTGACCATAATTATTTAAGAAATTCCCCCAAGGAGGGAAAGAAGAATGGAATGGGAGAGAGACCCAGAGAAAGTTATATGATATATATTGGAACACTGTTCCACTCCCCCCAAACAACTTAAATAAATAAAAAACTCACTTTTTAAGTTTTAGGAAAATGGGTTAAAGACACTAGTGGTAGATTTAGCATAGACTCCAAAATTAGTGAATTAAGAATATTGCCTGGGACCCTGGCCAGGTAGCTCAGTTGGTTAGAGCATTATCCTGATACACCAAGGTTGTGGGTTCCATCCCTAGTCAGAGCACATACAAGAATCTACCATTGAATGCATAAATAAGTGGAACAGCAAACCAGTTAATGTTTCTCTCTCTATCTCCACCTCCCTCCCTCCTCCTCTCTCCCACTTCCCTTCTCTAAAATGTTTTTTCTTTTTAAGAATATTACCTGGTAGTTTTGACTAAGTGCTAGGCTAAGCAGACTAGCACTCAAAGCCTCTTAGAAATTGGAGGGGTGACTAATAAATACAGGTTAGATGCCCTAGACTTCATCACCTTGAAATTGCCTAGAACTTGTTCAAAAAGGGACAGAAGTGAAAGTAGCCACCCCCTTGCTGTGAGTAGATTACATCAGCCACAAAATACCTTTTGGCTTTTGTTGCAAAGTTATTCCTTTTGTATTTTTTATTTTCCCTCCCACTAGCCTGCTTGTCTGTACTTTCAGTATAATTAAAAGATTTCTCTTTCCTTACTTTCATAAGTGGGTTTCTTTTTGTCACTCTTATTTTAACAGATTTTAGCAAGTACTAATTATTAGCCTTCTTGTTTTATAGATTCCCTTAATGACTTCTTTTCTCCTTAATTCACTCACCCTCTTTATTGCTCCTTATAGGGATTTGGCATGCTGCTGATGGAGGAAGCAGAAAGAATAGCTAGAGAAGAACATGGGTCTGGGAAAATAGCTGTTATATCAGGTAAGGGGGTTGGGGGTGGTGAGGGCTAAGTTCATGACTCGTTCACATTTTTAACTTGGTACCACAATTAAAACTACCACAGGCCTCTTTTGCGCCTGTTTATGTTCAAAATGGGACAAAACTGAATAGTGAAATACCTGTGCTTAAACACAAAGAAAACTCCTATAAGCAGTTTGCTGGAATAGAGCGTTCGGAAGCAACCCATCTCTGAGTGTGCTGTCTTCCTCGCTGTCTGTCACACTAGTCATCGTGTTCATCTCCTCTCTTGTGCTTTGTGCCCAGTTACTTTGTCTGGGAAAATGAAGTTTGATGATATGGATCCAAGAAAAATGTAAATCAATGTGAAGATTATCAATATTGTTGTTCAGGAAATTAAAATAGAATCTAAGTTGCCAGTACAAAATGTTAAAAGGCAGAGTTTCCTGCTCCTTAAATACCGTTCGCAGTGACTTTGCTCTTGGGGAAGAGCTTGCGCTGTGTGGATTCCCCATTCCTGATCTAGGACAGCAGGTCATTGGGAAGGGGCATGAAAAGGACATTGTAGATGAGTGGGACAAGAAGTAATGTAGCGCCCTTTCACGCTTGCTTCTTGGTATTGTATCCCTACACAAATTGCTGTTCCCATTAAGAAGCTAACATGGTGAAAGCCATGATCAAAATGTAGGTTATTTCTCTTCCAGTGTTTGTTTTCTTATTAGACTACTCCATTCTAAAGGCGGATTATTTCCTTTTAAGAAAATATTCTTTTTTCTGAAAATGAAAGTTGAAATGAGGTGTTTTTTTTTAATCAGTAAGTTGTTGCCCATCAGTAAGTCAATACCTTTGCCTAACTTTTAATGATTATAATTATGGAAATGTAATGAGTCAGGCTCACTTAATCATTTATTCTGGCCATGGTTTTTTGGCATTATCCAGACAGATTAATAAAGCACTTGTTAACATGGCTAGCTTTATAATTTTTTTTCTGTTATCTTTAATTCCACTAAAGAAGAGGGAACTCAATGAACTAAATGAGGCTCATATGATTGATACTGATATATGTGATAACAAATGATTACCTCTCAATGGTTTAATCTGTAGTTGATCAGAAGTCAGCCTTTCCTGGTGGTACCAGGAAAAGGCCAAACCAACTCAGAGTTCATTCTCCATATGTATCTGAAGGGCAGCAACCATCTGAAATTTCAGTGGCCTCTTTTCCGGAGCACTGTCAGTGTCTGCAGTACAGTACTCACGCTTTCATGTGCTTGGGAATCACCTGGAGATTTTGTTAAAATGCAGATTTTGACTCGGTAGGTCTGCAGTGGGGCCTGAGCGCCAGCATTTCTCACCAGCTCCCAGTGCCACCCAAGCTGATTCTTTTCAGACCGCACTTTGAGTAGCAGGGTTTAGTATTCTCTTCCAAATGTAACATCCTCTTCCAGATCATTAAGGTAAGGGTACTGCCTGTGACACTGGCCGTGCCTGCACTCTTAAAGGCTGATACGCAATTACATGATTTTCTGTTGTCTGTGGGAAACCTAATCAGTCTTAAAACTGAGAGCATCAGTACTCTATCACTTCTGCATGTTATTTCATTTGGCTTCATGATATCTCTCTTTTTAGAAATAATACATGCAAGGAGGGCTGCATGACTTCCCTGAGGTCACATTCAGTTGCCCATAAGAGCCTCAGTTTCTGCTTTTTATGAGCAGATAATGGAAATCAGCATCTGTACTCTTCCTAGCTTTTTATCATAATCTAAATAATAGCTCAATTTCAGATCATCTGCTTGTAGACTTTTTAGAATAACAGGGAAGAGCCTTTCTCCTTATCGGCACCTACAATAGGAACTACTAGATTT